ACTATGTGTCCCAGTCCACCCAGGTGTGATTGGGTACCTCGTAAGGATGGGAAAGCCGCAATAACTTGGTGCGCCTAGTGGCAGCAAGAGTTGTATGCTCTCCAGGGAGCTGAGATTGATAATAAGATGTGCTGTTGAGATTGACATCCAGTGATCAAGGGAAAAAAATGCCCGTGCCTTGAGCATGCACTAGTGCGTGGATACGTATGTATATTATCCTCCTGTGACTGAGGGTTATAGGTATGTATATTATCCTCCTGTGACTGAGGGTTATACGTATGTATATTATCCTCCTGTGACTGAGGGTTATCCTCCTCCTCCTGTGACTGAGGGTTATATGTATGTATATTATCCTCCTCCTGTGACTGAGGGTTATATGTATGTATATTATCCTCCTGTGACTGAGGGTTATACATATGTATATTATCCTCCTGTGACTGAGGGTTATACGTATGTATATTATCCTCCTGTGACTGAGGGTTATACGTATGTATATTATCCTCCTGTGACTGAGGGTTATACGTATGTATATTATCCTCCTGTGACTGAGGGTTATACGTATGTATATTATCCTCCTCCTGTGACTGAGGGTTATACGTATGTATATTATCCTCCTGTGACTGATGTATATTATCCCTCCTCCTGTGACTGAGGGTTATACGTATGTATATTATCCTCCTGTGACTGAGGGTTATACGTATGTATATTATCCTCCTGAGGGTTATAAGTGATGTATATTATCCTCCTGTGACTGAGGGTTATATGTATGTATATTATCCTCCTCCTGTGACTGAGGGTTATAAGTATGTATATTATCCTCCTGTGACTGAGGGTTATACTGTATGTATATTATCCTCCTCCTGTGACTGAGGGTTATACGTATGTATATTATCCTCCTGTGACTGAGGGTTATACGTATGTATATTCCTCCTGTGACTCCCTCCTCCTGTGACTGAGGGTTATACAGTATGTATATTATCCTCCTGTGACTGAGGGTTATACTGTATGTATATTATCCTCCTCCTGTGACTGAGGGTTATACGTATGTATATTATCCTCCTCCTGTGACTGAGGGTTATATGTATGTATATTATCCTCCTCCTGTGACTGAGGGTTATACTGTATGTATATTATCCTCCTGTGACTGAGGGTGTATTATCCTCCTGTGACTGAGGGTTATCCCTCCTCCTGTGACTGAGGGTTATCAATGTATGTACATTATCCTCCTCCTGTGATGTATATTATCCCTCCTGTGACTGAGGGTTATAATGAGGGTATATTATCCTCCTCCTGTGACTGAGGGTTATAATGTATGCATATATCCTCCTCCTGTGACTGAGGGTTATATGTATGTATATTATCCTCCTCCTGTGACTGAGGGTTATAATGAGGGTTATAATGTGATGTATTATCCTCCTGTGACTGAGGGTTATACGTATGTATATTATCCTCCTGTGACTGAGGGTTATCCTATCCTCCCTGTGACTGAGGGTTATATGTGATGTATATTATCCTCCTCCTGTGACTGAGGGTTATAATGATGTATATTATCCTCCTGTGACTGAGGGTTACTGAGGTGACTGAGGGTTATATGTATGTATATTATCCTCCTCCTGTGACTGAGGGTTATACGTATGTATATTATCCTCCTCCTGTGACTGAGGGTTATATGTATCCTATCCTCCTGTATGAGGGTTATGTATATTATCCTCCTGTGACTGAGGGTTATATGTATGTATATTATCCTCCTCCTGTGACTGAGGGTTATAAGTTATATTATCCTCCTCCTGTGACTGAGGGTTATATTATCCTCCTCCTCCTGTGACTGAGGGTTATATGTATGTATATTATCCTCCTCCTGTGACTGAGGGTTATACTGTATGTATATTATCCTCCTCCTGTGACTGAGGGTTATACGTATGTATATTATCCTCCTCCTGTGACTGAGGGTTATATGTATGTATATTATCCTCCTCCTGTAATTGAGGGTTATACGTATGTATATTATCCTCCTCCTGTGACTGAGGGTTATATGTATATTGTCCTCCTCAAGTGTCTGTGTTACAAAGGAAATAGTAAGCAATACCATACATTGTATACAATTGTATGCATTGCACAGCCCTTGCAAGAAGCTCTGACTCAAAGCAAGTGTATACTGGTGATAGTGTTTCCTGGAGAATGCTTTCTGTGGTGACTTCAGTGTAGATGTGTAAGTCCTACAGCAGTGTCACCGGGGACAACAGGAAGTGTATAGATGGGATTTCACTGCTGTCACTGACTGTAGCCACTCACAAATAAATTGATCAATTATGACTCTGTAATAGTTTCTATTGTCAATACGAGAGGTTAAACATTACACTTTCTTAGAAAAACACAATGTTCTTCCTGTCTGTTTGTCCACAAACTCTTAATGAGAAGAGTGAGTGAGTGAGAGTATGATTTTACGCTGCTTTAACAACATTCCAGCAATATCATGACGGATGTATGATATGCTGTACAGAAAAAAGTGGAATAATAAGAAAAAAAGAATGGTAAAAAACAAAAAAAAAAACCCAAAATCATGATGGGGGACACAAGAAATGGGCTTCACACATTGTACCCATGTGGGGAATCAAACCAGGGCCTTTTGGCGTGACAAGTGAACACTTTAACCACAAGGCTACCCCACCACCCCCTTGATGAGAAGAATCTGACTGTTGTTTTTAAATATTACTGATAAGTGACTGATGTGGAACTGCTAGAAAATATGGCTTAGTTGTAGTTGAGGAGGTGTGAAATTGGGTTCTAGAATATTGCACCAATATAGCAGCATGCATACAAGTGTGTGTCCGCATGTGGACTACTAGTTATATAGTGCTCAGATACCATTTATTGTGGATACCCTACTGTATCCTGTTTCTTTCCTTGTTTTGTCCATTTATGTACCATCCTTTAAGCCTGGTAGTAGGATTGCCATTCTCTGAGTAGATACAGAATACATGTACTTCATAGTCAAGTGTCCATCACTGACTGTTATGTAGCTGATTAAAAAATATCACAAAAAAGATCTTGTTAATGTGGACAGTTCTTTTAACAGTGATTTTAACAGTGATCTTCATGGGTACTTAGGGGCAGTGGGGTAGCCTAGTGATTAAAGCATTTGCTTGTCACTCCGAAGACATGGGTTTGATTCCCACATGGGTACAATGTGTGAAGCCCATTTCTGGTGCCCCCTGGTGTGATATTGCTGGAATATTGCTAGAAGTGGCATAAAACTAAACTCACTTGTGGGTACTTGTGATTGACATGTAGTCATTGTATGGTATAAAGTTTTCTATATCTGAGCAGTTGCAGAAACTGCAGTACTGTTATGTTAAATCTCTTAAAACCAGACTCTGATATGTATCGGTGTGTCTGGTACAGCAGTATGTCACTACAATACAACAGTACCATTGTTGATACTAGTATCAATACATATGCATCATGAAATTACTCATCCATTGTACCACAACCAAAGTATCACACTACACGTTGGTGACTAAATATCAGACCGGAGTGTGGGTCAGTCCCCAACACATCCCAACACATACATCTCCTGCTCTGACATGCTGATGTACACCATTACATGCATGAGTGCTTGTCTGGCGACGTTTTTACACTCCAGCAGGTGCTTGTGTTATCTTGTATCATAGAATAGGTTAACAGACTGATGTATTTATGATAAATCAGCATCTGTGGGTAATTACTATGTGCGATGATCAATGTCATCGGTTCCCAATTGCGCAGATCGATGCTCATGCTGTTGATCACTGGATTGTCTGGTCCAGACTCGATTATTTACAGACCGCCGCGCCATATAGCTGGAATATTGCTGAGTGCGGCGTAAAACTAAACTCACTCACTCATGTGCGATGATCACCAGACGATGACAAATGGCGAGGACATCCATCATGTGGTATTAGTGTATAAGGTCTTTCGTTGACTTGAACAGTGAGGATGACATCCATCAGTTGCTAGATACTTGATGTCAGTAGCATTCTATGATTTTGATCAGTTGAAGCCTGTAAGGTGACATTGTTCCTGAGTATTGCTACAGTTCTGGTGGGGCGGTGGGGTAGCCTAGTGGTTAAAGCGTTGGCTCGTCACGCCGAAGACCCGAGTTCGAATCCCCACATGGGTACAATGTGTGAAGCCCATTTCTGGTGTTCCCCAGCCGTGATGTAGCTGGAATATTGCTAAAAGCGGCGTAAAACCAACTCAGTCAGTCAGTACAGTTCTGGTTTAAGGGGGCATACAACCTGACTCACTCCAACCATTCATGGAATCAGCCTGCCTTGGTATCTGTCAGCTCATGAATTAAAGATTTGAAGACGGAAACAGTTGTAATCTGGAGTGTTATGATATGTTAAACTTTCAGCGAATTGCAATAGTTTGCTCTACGTTATCAGGGTGTCAATAGGAGATCCAAAATGCCAATTTATTGTTGACAGTTAGTATAATAATTGATAGTTACAATAGTTGCAATTTGTCATAAATAAAACATGTTGTGTAAATTTCAAACATGACTTATGGTTGGCATGGCTAACTAAGCAGATTAGAGTTACTTCCCCCTGGGCACATTGGCGTAGCTGTCAGGCCACATCGGATAAAGATGTGAAAGGGAGAAAATATAGTTGTGACATAGTAACTATCCTCCAGTTGTCCCTTCACACAGTCAGCTGGTGGTATCAGGTGTGTATCAGTTATTTATAAGTAATAAGTAAAACTGAATGTGTGGTACGTCAGCAAATGAAATTAGAATGGTTGTGATTGTTTGAGATACCGTCTGTGTGAAGTCTAATTGGTTGGAATTGTTTTGAGATACCGTCTGTGTGAAGTCTAATTGGTTGGAATTGTTTTGAGATACCGTTGTTTCAAATGAAGTCACGTTGACCCTGATTGTTTATCAGATATGGACAAAATGTTTAGTTTGTTATGATTGTTAATGATGAATTGATCTAAAGCAGGCCGCAACTTCAAAGATGAATAATAATGGTAGGTCTTTAATAACAATGAGAAATATCATATACTAAACAAATGTGTCTCTAATGATAATGTACTGTGTTTGAATTCTTTATCAGGAAAAACTATTACGCTGTGTAATAAGCTCAGCAAGGTGAACCTGAGCAGTGATCTTGGGAAAGGTATATGTGAGCCCATCTATTCATCAAGTTGGTATGTCACTCAGTCCCAGGCTGCTGTAGCTGATGTTTGTCCCCGGGGTGCGAACCCCTCCTCAGTCCGAACTGCTGTCATGGATGCATCAATCACAACATCGCTGACGGAGCTTTTTGTCTCTGTACCGTTTGATCATCAGCGATTAGTCTCTTTGGTGTCATCTCTCAGTTCAGCAGAAACAGTTTTTATGTAGCTTTGTGTATGATGATTCATCAAAAGGAAGAGGTTTGAAGGATAATATGATCCTTGAGTGATGGGACTGCTGGGTGCTGGGACAGAGATTGTGTGTTGAGGAGGATGTGTCGGTGGAGGGCGATATGACAATATTGACATAGGAAATGATACGTGTTGTATTTCAACATCCAGATCATATGGAGTACAGCAAATGACTGGTTTCGGGGATGCATCTCGTGGGTAGTTATCTCAAGACACACTGATGCAGAATCGTGTACCATGGTTTCTGTGTCTTGAGATAACTACCCACGAGTGATCATGTCAATCAAGAAATTGTCTGATCCAGACTCAATTATGACACAGAAACCATGTAAACGCTGATGGTACTCCCAATGAATCTGCCAGATTGACAGGTTTCTGCATCAGTGTATCTCAGCTGTCACTTGAATAGGGTGTTATGTTAATTTGTTTGTCTCAGTGTTGTTTAATACTGCACTCAGCAATAGTGACAAGTCAGTGCTCCGTAAGTAATGCTCTGTATGTAACTGAGTCTGGATCAGACAATTTTGTGATTGACATCACAAGCATTGATCTACCCAGTTGGGACGAAATGACATGCATCAACCAGCTCAGCGAGCCCAGTCATGTTAAGATGCTTCTTACAACAAGCATGGGTTGCTTCACACTAGCAATTGGACCTTCATGTGTTGAGAAGGGTGATAATGAATGTGGGATGTCGTTATTAGATGCATCATACCAGCTGTCAGATATAAGCTTATTGGATGTGAGTGATGGATGGCTGCAAGAAGGGGGTGATGGAGAGTCTCACGCCCTGATGCTTGATGGAGATGAATGTAGAGTTATGATGGATGCCCTTACAAAGGGTAGGAGGAAGAGATCAACTTGAAAGCAGGCTCAATCTAAGTCAGTCAATTAGTAGATGATCGGGAATGTTTCCTTGTTGTCAGGATGAGAGGCTGTTTGACCAGGTGTTGGTACATCCAAAGATAAATCCCTGCAACGTTGATGTTGAGTCAGCCAGATAACAACATTTCACTCCCTACATCATACACTCTTTATAGGTCAACTGTATGATGTATGATTTTGTGTGTGCGCTTGTGTGTGCAGGGTTCATGGATGTAACGATGCAGTGGTTGTTTATATGCAGTGGTATATAGCTGTTTATATGCAGTGGTATATGGCTGTTTATATGCAGTGGTATACGGCTGTTTATATGCAGTGGTATACGGCTGTTTATATGCAGTGGTATACAGTTGTTTTTATGCAGTAGTATACGGTTGTTTATATGCAGTGGTAAATGGTTGTTTATATGCAGTGGTATATGGTTGTTTATATACAGTGGTATATGGTTGTTTATATGCAGTGGTACACGGTTGTTTATATGCAGTGGTATATGGTTGTTTATATGCAGTGGTATGTGGTTGTGTATATGCAGTGGTATATGGTTCTTTATATGCAGTGGTATGTGGTTGTGTATATGCAGTGGTATACGGCTGTTTATATGCAGTGGTATACAGTTGTGTTTATACAGTAGTATACGGTTGTTTATATGCAGTGGTATATGGTTGTTTATATACAGTGGTATATGTTTTTTTATGTGCAGTGATAGATGGTTCTTTATATACAGTGGTATATGGTTGTTTATATACATTGGTATATGGTTGTTTATATGCAGTGGTATATGGTTGTTTATATGCAGTGGTATATGGTTGTTTATATACAGTGGTACATGTTTTTTTATGTGCAGTGATAGATGGTTCTTTATATACAGTGGTATATGGTTGTTTATATACATTGGTATATGGTTGTTTATATGCAGTGGTATATGGTTGTTTATATGCAGTGGTATATGGTTGTTTATATACAGTGGTACATGTTTTTTTATGTGCAGTGATAGATGGTTCTTTATGTACAGTGGTATATGGTTGTTTATGTGCAATGGTATATGGTGGTTTATATGCAGTGAGTGAGTTTAGTTTTACACCGCACTCAGCAGTATTCCAGCGATATGGCAGCGGTCTGTAAATAATCGAGTCTGGACCAGACAATCCAGTGATCAACAGCATGAGCATCGATCTGCGCACTTAGGAACCGATGACATGTGTCAACCAAGTCAGCGAGCCTGACCACCCAATCCCGTTAGTCGCCTTTTGTGGCAAGCATGGGTTGCTGAAGACCTGTATTCTACCCTGGATATATGCAGTGTTATACAGTTGTTTATATGCAGTGGTATATGGTTACTTATATGCGGTGGTATACAGTTGTTTTTATGCAGTGTTTTTTTCTTTTCAGTGTGTGCTGATAGGGTTGGCCAGAACGAAGAGGAAGAGTCTGTTGATCCAGTTGTCCTGGCAACCGACAAACTCCAGAACGATCAGGTATTCACCCGAGGAAATGATTCTCATAAAACCATATATCAAACACTTCCGAGTACAAATTGGAATCCTTCTATTTGGCTTTGTCTTAATTGACAGTTTATGTAAAGAACACTTGTTGTAAAGCACTTGTCACGTATTCCACACAACAATCAATACTTACAAAGAATGTGATATATTGGATATTGACTTTTATCAGATAGGGAAGTAATACTTGGTGCATACAGACGAAGTACTGTCCGTGATTTCCTTCTGTAAAACCACTTCTAGAACAGAAGGAACCGACCAGTATCACTTTTGTAACGTGTACATAACTCTATTATACAGAGAACTGTTTCATCTGACGTGACCAGTTGAACATTTAGCTTTATTGATAAGTAAATGAAGACAGATGAACTCAGGATTAGGAAAGTAACAATAAATAGAACTAAAGATGTATTGCAAGGTTTCTGCCCTGAGGCTGATTATTCAACAGGAATTGAAAAGCGCGCTGATGGTATTCTATCACTAGTATGCATAACTGTCAATAGTTTCAATAGTTCCTGAAGGTCATGAATATAACATCAATAATGTATGAGAACATTCAGATTTACAATCAAATCCTGCTGCGTACTGAGTTGCAAGCGATAAGATAATTTCAGGTTTGAGTATTGAGAGGGACGATAATGACCAACTGTATTTACATTTTCAGCAGTACTAGTTTTCACTTCTATTACATTGACTTGTATGCTTAACTAGCCGTAATGTCAGTGTATGAAATAGGCCCGTCCGACTGCACGAGACGGTCTAGATTTCTGACGTACGGTCTAAATTTACAGCTAGCCAGCCCGATGGTCTGGTAAATTATTTAGATGTTCCATACATTTGAGTAAATTCACCATATTTGGTCTGGTTAAATCCATTTTGAAGTTACCAGCCCTGATGTCTGGCTGGATTTTTGGCTTATTTCCTACACTGGTAATGTAATACTACCTCATAATAATTGCAATGGTTGACACGGGGTGAGGGTCAGTCTGTCAATTTGGTTGACAATAATCATTTTGCTATCAACTGGCAATGTTGCAGGTTCACTGACATTCAACAGTTTGATAGCTGACTTCCTTCTGGATAACATGGGGACTTAAAATGTCATCAGAGACAAGAACATTCCGCTGTGCAGCAAAAGCTCTCTGGCACACGCAAACTGTTCAAACAAAACATGAAAGACAGCATGTCTTAAACTGAAGCCTTTCTAACAAAGTAACATAACTACTTTTAAGATATACCAAAGCTTTCATTTTCTTCACCTTGTAACTTAAATGACAATCGTAAATCTTGCAGAGTTCAGAGTACGATGGTGAGAACCCTCTGACAATCAACACTGACTTTCAAGACGAAGACGACGAGAATCCTCACACAAGCAACACAGACTTCCACGATGAGGAGATTGTGAATGAACTGTCCAATCAGCTCAGTCCACATGTTTCGCCAACCAGTATTAACCACCTCGAGTCACACAGCGGCCCTCCCAGCGAGGCAGGGTCGTCACGTCCTCCGTCCCCAAGCAATCCGTCCAGCTTATATTCCCCCAGCCAAAGCTACCCTGTGTTCCCGTCATCTTCCCGGCCCCAAAAGAGGGGGGGCAAAGGTCAGCGAAGAACAGAAGGTCAGAAGCATTCTCTTCTCATCCAATCTTGTGTGAAATGATGTCTTGATCACTGTCATATATCTTCTAAATAATAATGTAATAGTGTCATTTTTGTATAGATCTTTACACCATTGTCAAACCAGGTGAAGTACGAGACAAAACAATTATGGATGACAACTTCTTTATTACACTCTAGTAGACCTGGCATAGATCCTTCTTGAAAACTGTATAAGCCTCTAAATATTCCAGAAGTATTTCTATTACAGTATTACAGGTAATAATGAATTTGTTATCCATTTGTCTCCTTTACCATAAACTGAGATGTAAGTTTGACTAAAGTGCTGAACATTTCTTTCTACATCGCACAGACAGTGGAATAGCTGCAATACTGTTCACACCAATGCTAAGCCTCCCTCCCTCCCTCACTCACTCGCTGCCTCTCCTTCCAGATTCTCCCGGTAGCAGGTAAAGATGGCCTTGCCAAGTTCGTGTGCCCCGTGTGCAAGGATGAGATGAGCACACTACATGATCTCACCGTCCACATCCGCCAACACAACTCCACCGCCATCAGCTCCAACTCCGCCAACAGTTGCACCATCTGCGGCAAGATCCTCAGTTCCCAGAGCTCACTGGACAGGCACATGTTGGTCCACTCAGGTAAATAGAATTAACAACATCAATCACATAGTCAGAAGACATATGATTCCATTCTTCAATCTGAGCGCATCGTGAGCAAGTGTTTATGTATGTTTGTTTGATGTTTAATGCTTCCGTCGGCAATATTTGGCTATATGGCAGCAGTCTGGTACTGACAATGCAGTTGATAACATGAGCATCGCTCTACGCATTTGGGAGGTGATGACGTGTCAACAAAGTCCGCGAGCCTGACCACCCAATCCTGTATGTCCCCTCTTATGAGTAAGTGAGTGAGTGAGTTTGGTTTTACACCGCTTTTAGCAATATTCCAGCAATATCACGGCGGGGGACACCAGAAATGAGCTTCACACATTGTGCCCATGTGGGGAATCGAACCTGGGTCTTCGGCGTGACGAGCGAACGCTTTAACCATCAGGCTAAACCCCACCCCCACCCCCACCCCTCTTATGACAATCATGGGTGGCTGAAGACCAATTCTATCCCAAGTGTTCATGATTCTCAGGCATAGTGATGGTTTAGAGTTTCTGTAGTTTCATAATGTAGATGTGTTTCAACGTAGTGTTCCCTTCCAGGTGAACGTCCATTCTCTTGCCGAGTATGCAAAATGTCATTCACTACCAACGGCAACATGCACAGGCACATGCGCATCCACAGCAAGGAAGCAGAGCTCGGGATGATGCATGGTGTCAAGTCTGGCTCTCGCCGTGGCAAGGGAGGATGGCGCCCTAAGACAGTTGTGCACCCTTCTATGCAAGACCTTGATCTCAGTACTAGTGAAGCTGCCTCAAGATTTCTTGAACGGCCGCCCCCTCAGTTTGCATTTCACATGGCACCCTCCGACATGCCGCCATTTGGTGGTAACAAGAGACCCTCAGAAGAGTCCCAGTGGGACCACCAGTTGTCTCTGAAGATGCCGATGATGTCTGGTGTTGCACTGCATCCTCCGTCCTTGTCAATGACAACCCTTCCTACAGTGCAGCAACAGCAACAGCAGCAGCAGCAGCCCCAGCTCCAGCCCCAGCCCCAACACCAGCCCCAGCGGCAGACTATAGAAAGCACCATTGGCCAGATTCCAGTAAGTGCTACAATGTTCTTGGTGTAAATGAAACTTTGTGATAGAAGTTATGCCAATTTGAAAAGTGTTGCACAATGTCATTGAATTGTAATACAGAATACTGTTTGTCAAAGTTTCAGTACTTGTAAGAAGACAAGAAATATTTTGACATATTGTCTTTTTATAACATTATTTTGATTTATTGTATTCTCAACATATATGTAGGAATAACTGACACATTACGTGTGCATTTAGCACAAATGATAACATATGAAGGACTATTTACTAAAGAAGAAGTTGATGATGATGATGATGTTTGCAGCCTCAATCTGGCAACGTATGCATGAAGGAGGAAGATGAGCCAGCCTTCCCAGTCATTCCTCAGCCAAACTCAAGGACCCTCATCTACCACAAGATGCTTGACCCAAATGGGGTCAAGGTCAAAGACGAACCCAACACATCCTCCACACCAAATCAAGACACAAATGAGGCTGGAATCTCTGTTGGGTTTTATGATTTGGACTTTGTTGACTTCACAAGCAACAAGTTTCCCCTGATAGCCAAAGCATGGTGCGAGCACTGTACCCGTCAGCCAAGTAGCAAATACCATCGATTTGACTGCACTGTGTGCAGGAAGGCTTTCCCTTGTAAGGCTGCCCTGCTCCTGCACACTCCTGTCCACACTGGGAAACAGTTGACTTCCTGCCCGTTCTGTGACTGTGAGTTCGTGGAACAGGATATCATGCAGACACACATGGTGAAACACATGTCGGAGCGGGGTCTTGAAGACACTCAGGCTGTCGACCCTCACTCTGTCTCACAGCAAGACTTTCTGGCACAGTTCAGCCTGGCCCCGAGGCAGCTAGTTAAGGGCAAAGAATCTCATGCCAAAAAATTGCAAAGATTGAAAAGAGAGAAAACAATGAATATTTCCCAAGACTTGGTCATGCTTTTGTACCATCTGTCATGCCCAAACCTCAAGTGTCATTGGACACCAAAGCCAAACTAGCTAAAGAAGTCGAGGATCTGAAACGTATCTACCCACAAGCTATGTTCGTACCCGACAGGTTCATTTTCTCCCCGGTGAACCAATGTCGGCTCTCCCAACAACTGGGTCAGTCAATTCTTGCCGTCCCCCAACAGCCAAGAAGTCACAGCCCCACCCCCATGAGTTCAGTCACCCCACCCCCAGTGGAGTCCAAGCAATCCGAGTCCCCTTTCATTGAAGCGAGTCCTGTGACAACACCTCCACTATGGGAGGAAGGTCAAGGAAGGTTCCCCTGCAGATACTGTGATCTTGCCTTCAACAACCAGAGAAGCCTGAAGGGTAAGTGAGCCTTCCGATGCTTTTGTCAATTTTTATTTATGGAAACATGAAATATCAATGGCCAGTATGTTACATGTTGAAGAATTTCTCAACTTAGGATAGGATGATGTCAGATAATAATCATAGCAATCACAGCTCAACTCATTGTCCAAGATAATCCCCATGGAGTTACAGAAGATAAAACTGTATGGGAGATCGAGTTCCATTTCCCCTGAGCAAGTAACAACAATATTGGAATTCTCACCAAAATGTCACTCCATTTGATGAAACCATGGTTGGCCAAGTCATCTATGGTGCAACAATTCACTGTATTCACTTCCTAAACATGTCAGAAGGCTCTGATTTGGAACTTGAATTATAATTCAACTTAAAAAATGTTGTCTTGGCTTGCCAGCACGACATCTTGAAAAACCTCTGTGGCCTGAGCCACTCTCCTCTTATCGCCTCATGTTGATAGAGCTGGAATACTGTTCTCAGTGGTGTGAAACCAATACTCACTTACTAACAGCAGTTGAAATCATGGAGTTGATGATGCATACTATTTTATCATTAGAAATATATCAACTTCCCAATACAAGTTGTAAATTTCCCTTAAAATCAATGCACCTGTAAACCCGCATACCAGAGTTTTAAATGTGTGTTGGCTGCAGAACATGTTCTTCATGGAGAGTGGTAATTTACTGTGTTCATTTTTAACTTTGCGGAAGGAGAAAGTCAGGTAAGTGTGTTCGTGTCTGCACCTTGGCCATGTTTATTCTGTGTAAGTGTGCATGTTGTGCATCTGTTGGTACACCACCCCTATATTCCTCGGATTATACTTTTTTTTATCATTTTACCTTTTTTGTCATTTCAGTTGTGTTTCTTCTTTTAGATTTACTGTGTAGCATGTGCACTGGTCATGAAAAGAATAGCTAGTTGTTAGGAATACATTTGCTTCTTGGATCTACTTTATGTATTAGGTTGATTATCATTTGCATTGGAGTGTATGGTTTGCTTTGCCTGTACGATGTATCCTGGAGTAGACTTGGTGGTGTCTGGTGGTTAAAGCTTTGGCTCCTCACACTAAAGACCCTGGGGTCCCTTCCACAAAGCGATCATAGTGCTACAACCATCATATTTCTGTACTTCACATAGACTTGTGATAGTCATACAGGCAGAATCGCTTTCTGGAATGAGGCCAGGGATACAATGAGTGATGCTATTCTCAGTGTCTCATGCACTCCTTCGCCCAAAGCTGAATAAAAACTCAAAATAATCACAAGTTCACAATTGTTTGTTTTTTAAACTCCCATTTGAAAATGTAGATATTGCACAATATTCTCTGTGTAGTAGTAGATGCATGTATACGTAGGACTTGTTCTCAACTACAGTTGATGTTTGACATACCGTTCCATAAATGACTTGTCCCCAGGAATGTCAACTGTCAGTTGTTAGGGAAACCATACAATAATGACATTTGTGTTATATTTTGTGATTAAATTAAACAATCAATATGAACTTATGAATACAGATAAGTGATTTTATACAGAACGTAATGCAGGTCATAACTAATGTTTCAAATTTTCAGAGCAAATGTTTAGAACAATGAGGTTTTTAATGTATTGAGAGTAGCACTGATCCTGATTGCAATGAGGTAATTGGCTGGTACATGACCACTAATGTGGGTGCTCTCCTTGTACAGGACATACACGTACACACCTGGGTCTGACGCCCTACAAATGCAACCTGTGCAGCTACTCCAGCGCCGACAAGAGCACCCTCATCCGACACCTGCGTACACACAACGGAGAGCGACCCTTCCAGTGCCTCATCTGTGACTTTGCCTTCACCACAAAAGCTAACTGTGAGAGGCATGTCAGGTGAGAAGATTTTCAGACTTACCAGGCCACAGTAAGCAGGCTTTTATTGTCAGTCCTGAGACTCTGCAAAATAGCTGCAACTGGACCATTTTCCACCCTTCACCAGTTAGGCCACACCAATTTTATTTCTTGTTTTATGGCTTTTTTCCTAAGAAAACCTAAAGGCAGGAGGGAAAAAGACTAACACTATAAAAATAAAATAAAAACAAAAAGTAATGTTCTTTTTAAGTATTAAAAGTATTTTACTTTTGGCAATTTATGAAGTGTATATGGGGCAAAAACAATCTAAAAAAGATTTTCTTGAAAGTTTACATTTTTGGCCAATAAAACATTAGGATTTAATTTTTGAGCAGGGAAAATTAATAAAAAAATTGTTTGTATACTTGAAAAAAATCCCGGACCCGGACGCAAATGAAGCACGATCGGCAGATCCATAAAAAAAGAAATAAATTTGGTCTGGTCTTATTACATTAAACTCCACTTTTTATTGTATGGATTGTTTTCGGCACGATATGGCTGAGATATTGCCGATGTGACGTTAAATAGTAACTCACTCACTCACTATTACATTAAACAATGATACATTGATTCATCCCTACCACCACAATCTGAATTACTTAGTAGTGAAGAAATATGAACCTTATTTCTGGTGTCTCTGCTCCAGGATATTTTAGTATTGCTAACATCAGTGTGAAACGATGAGAACTCATTTAATCACTGACTCACTCACTCTCATGACAGAAAGAAGCATGGCAAGCTAATGAAGGAAGACATTGAGCAGTCCATTGGCTACAACAAGTATGTAATGGACACAGCGTCAAGCATGGACGCCTTCCACTCCCCCGACACGGTCTGCAAGTACTGTGGCATTGACTTCAAGTTCTTCCACGCCCTCAAGCACCACCTCCGGTCTCACAGCAGCTGCCGACAGAAGCCCTTCCTCTGCCAGAGATGTGATGTTGGCTTCTCCACCAAGGCGAACTGTGTCCGCCACATCCAGAAGCAGCACCTGGAGGTCGGCCAACACCAGATCGAGGGCTTGATCCACGTCAATGAGCCTTCCATGATGGATGACATGGAGAGAGTGACCAGCGACAGTCAGGAGTCGGCCAGCCCAGCTAGTCTCTCCAGTAGTGGTAACTTCCAGGTAAGGAAACAAGATGTTGGGTATACTTGAAGGTACAGCTGGCTAAGGCATCTGTTTGTACAGTCAGGCAGACTTTCATGCCCCACACTGTTCAGTGCCATGTTTGACCAGAAATAGTACACGAAAGTGATGTAGGACATCCATACTGACAAGCCTATTAAAATTAAATCTCCCAAAATATCTGTTGTCCTTACTCAAGGCTTTAGCCGACAACATTTCAGAAAACATGTATGTCAAGGTTATTTATCTGTCGTGCGACAATGACTCACTAGTGTAAAGTTATTGAATATTTTCAAGATATATTTGTGTGTGTGATGCTACGATTGTGATGCTGACCTACCTGTGTGTTGTAGGTTTCCCCCCAGTCCCCCCGCAGCACACAAGGTGGAGCCCGTCCTCCCCCACTCCTCCATGCTGGTGAAGCTGGAGCCACACCTCACCTGCACCCAGCCTCTAGACTTCAGTCTGATGAACTCTCCCTTCACCCCAACCCCGGGGCTCAGTCGCAGTGACCAGCCTATGGATCTGTCTGTCAAGAAGAGGTCACCTTCACCAAATGCATCTGGGGTACGTCTTATGATTCAGTGCTCAAAACTTGCCTCCACATTAAGTATCACTTTTGTTAGACCTGCCTGAGGACCTGAGGAGATGTAGACCTTATCGACACTCACTGCAACATTAAATGAAATTCACTCACTCAAACTCATAACATAAATGGCAGGACATACTACAAAAATACTGGGTTTTTTGTATTCCATCTTGATGCTCTGCAATATTTTTATAATTCCATCTTGACACTTCGTAATAATTCTATTTGCAGCACTTAAAATCAGCCCTGCAAAGTGGTGAGCTCCCCAACAGGTTCTTGCAGTTTTCCCCTCCAGCATCCGACCACAGTCAGAAGGACGAGTTGGATGAGGATGACTTTGTCCTTGTCAGCGACAACAACAACAACAACGACAAGCACAGCTGGGAGATATCTCCACTGTCCATGAAGGAGAAACGTAACAGGGAGGCCAAGAAGATGGCGTTCATGGCCAAATACAGGATGCACTCCCCCAACTCAGGTACAGCTGCTCATGCCAAAAGATGGATTTTTTCTTAACATCCGTATCTTTACCTGACCTGATTTACAGGTTGCTGTGATAAAGCTGAAATATTGCTGAATACAGCGTCATGGTTACCATAGCGACTGCATGACGTGAACATCTACTATAAGGAATAATGTCATGTTTCTAGGTGGGGATTCTGTGTCCGACCTTGCGTCCGTCCACAAGATCCTCAACAACACAGGAGCCTACAAGTTCAACATGTTCCTTGGAACCAGCTGTGATGCCGAGGAGGAGGACAAAATGTCAGCCTTCAGGAAGCAGCTAATAAACACTGCAATCCACAAACACACCTCCCCATGTGACTCTCCCTCCTCCGAAGCCAACAGGGGTTCCCCAGACAAGGGCTCGGCTGAGTCGGATGTACAACTCCTGGCTCAGTCATACAGGGAAGACGTCAGGAGCAACATGAAAGAACAGCAGCAGCAACAGCAGGAGGACGAGGAGGACGATGAAGAAGAGAATGTGGTTGACGAGGAAGAGGAAGATGAAAATGGGGAGGAGTCAGGCTTTATTGATGACCAGGAAGAAATGGATTCCAGCAAGCATGGCATGGATCTCGATGTAGGTTCAGGTTGAATTCATGCTAGCATGATTTCATCAACTGTTGTTTGTGCTAGATCTGAAACATCAATGCCTGTTTCATTTATCTGCTGAAGCAGATTCTGTCATGTGTTAAAGGCAGTATAAGCAGTGGAACAAAAAAGTCACTCACTTACTATGAAATAGTTTTGGTCATGCATGTTTAGTTAACTTTGGAGCTTTCTGTAAAACCTAAAGACTATTGTAAATATTCTGTTCCCTTAGTCTGTTCTTCAAACTTAGAAATTTGTCATGGCTTCTTGAAGTGCTGAAGGTTTTAACTTTTCCCCAGGAGGAACATGATCTAAGCAATGGACTGTTCCCTGAAACACCAGTGAAGAAGAAACGTAATTCCTACGCAGACTCCCCCCACAAGTTGGCATGTCCTTACTGCCCCCGGTCATTTCCATGGGTCAGCTCACTCAACAGGCACCTACTCACACACACAGGTGAGGAATCCTTCTGTGTAAACTGTGTAAAAAGCACTTGCTCACAAACACACAAAAGTTAGGGATTCTTGTTAACAATGTAACAGGGTCCTGCTCAAACTCAGATAAGGAATCCTTGTTAACAATGCAAAAAGTCTGTGCTCACATCAACAAGTTAGGGATCCACGTTAACAGGGTATCAAGCACCTGCTTTCACAGAGATAACAAGTACCTGCTCACACAGTCCTTGTTAACAGTGTAACTAGCACCTGCCCACACACAGATAAGAAATCCTTGTTAACTAGGTAACATGTACCAACACACAAACACAAATTAGGGTCATTTGTTAGTGTAACAAGCACCTACTCACACACGTGTGGAATTCTTGGTATCTGTGTGACAAGCACCTGCTCACACTCTCCCAGACTACACAGTTCAGTGTCTGTTTTACTATGTTGATCCTCCAGGCCAGAAACCATTCAAGTGTCCTCGATGTCCAGTAACCTTCTCCACCAAGTCCAACCGAGAACGACACCTCATACGCAAACACGGAGTGAACATGTTGGACCCAGCCTCCCGACAGACCATGGACAGACCATACAAGTGTCACCTTTGTGTCTTCAGCTCCTTCTCAACTGAAAGTAGGTCCAGGAGTAGCTAGATTTGCATTTACATGTAGGAAAAACATGAATTGTATGCATAAAAACACCTATACTGTTTGTATTCTGAGGGGCTTGTTGGCTACATATGTGTCCAGGAACCTCAGATCTGCCATTTTTGCCCAGTATGAACCATAATTATATTGTCTATATGTATTTTTGACTCAGTAAATTGAAATTGCCATACAGATGAAGCTGAGCTTAACATTGATGGCTCTGAAGTCATGTCAGTCAGCAGATGGGTTAGCAGTTATGAAATTAATTGTAAGAAGCTGGTACATAGTCAGGTGAGCTACAGTGCCTGTGGCATTACTTGCTATTTTAGGTGTTTTGACAAGACACCTCATTGAAGGTCTTGTTCCAGGCAACTTGTTGAAGCACTATCAGGAAAGACACAACGGAGTGAAGCCCGAGCCAGTGCCGGAGGGATACCCTATAGAGGGAATGGAGAGTGAAGTAGGCAAAGGTATCGACAACGATGATAGCTTCTCTGACGATGACACAAACATGGTGAGGAGCATATTCAGATAATGCAAAGTATTGATTATTGTTGTCTATTTAACATGGTTCATTCTTGGCATCATTGAAAGATATCAACTCACAGCAAGACTATATTGTCTGTTAATTTGAATTGATCAGAAACTATGTCAAAATAATTTTCCAGATCTCTGTCAAGTCCAATGATGCAATGCCAGGTCCAAGTCCTGGTGACAGCGGTTCCGATCTGGACCAATCAAAAGCTGACATGTCCGACTACAGTTCATTCATCCAACAGTACACTTCAGCAGAACTCGAAGGTCAAGTTCAAGGTGATGATGAGGATGATGATGAAGACATCATTGCCTCAGCAGGATCTGGTGAGCGACAAACAAACCCAGAGCGAGACAATTACAATGTGGACAAAATCAAACATTGCTGGAAATGTGGAAAGTCCTTCCCATCACGTAAGATGCTAGTTCGTCATCTGAAGGAACATAATATCGACCTGCCCTTCAAGTGCTATCTCTGTGATGCCTCATTCGACCACAGGAAGGAGTGCCTGCTGCACCAGGAGAAGCACCACACCCGGGACTGGAACGTCCTGAGGGAGAAGAACAGCGTGGACGACATTGACTGCTTTGCCTCCAAGATGGATGTGGTGGTGGAGCGTCACTGCCGGGCTGGGAATGGAATCCTGGTGGAGGACAATGACGAGGAAGATGGTGGCGAGGAACCCATTGAGTCTGTCACATCCGACTACAACCAGAGGAAGGTCTACTGCTCTCTGTGTCCTAAACGCTTCTGGTCATTGCAGGATCTCCGGCGACACATGCGCTCTCATACAGGTGAGTCCTCTCAAGCTTTGTAATACAGACATTGGTGGAGGCCTGATGGTTGGAATCTGTAGAGATTTGCTTTGGTACATTTAAGAGTTGAATGTAATACATTGACACATATGCTTATTTTCTGAAGTATTATAAACATTAAGCCTTAACAGGTTAATATTACTTTGTTGCTTATGCAAGGTAACATAAGTTTGACATCTACCATAGATAAATTTCCTGTGGTACTACAATTATCAATTTAAATACAGATATTAAGTAGTATCTGTTGTAGCAAGTACCACCAATCTTGATTCAGGAAATTTGTTAAGTTGAATATGCCATTCATAATATGTTCTTGTATACCATCCTGTGCTTATCTTCATATAGAAGTGAGGAGTTATCTCCCTTGAAGGTACTTATTATACCAGTACTATTCAATATACACTGGCCTATATATTCGTATGTACCACCCTGTGACATGAGTCTTGTGCTGCTGTAGGGGAGCGCCCCTTTGAGTGTGACGTGTGTCAGAAGAGGTTCACTTTGAAGCACAGCATGATGCGACATCGCAAGAAGCACCTGCCTGGCTCCCTCTCCCGCTCTCTCTCCCCTGCATTCAGTGATGATGAGGACATTGTCCATAATGAGGAAACTGTTCTGCCTGGTCAGTGTTTATGTGGATTACCAACTCATTCTTTGTAAATCGTGCCCCACTGTAAATCATTGTGCCCACTGTATGTCATTGTGCCCCCATTTTGTGTCTCTGCTACCCTGATTGTGTGTCATCCAGACTCCTGCTCACCAGCTTAACTTTCAAACTTAGGACTTTTCTACAATTCCAGTTTTCTGAAATCAAGAGGTATTTTACCATTGCAGTTAAGCATTGCATTCAACACATTGACAGAGCTGTTCCTCACTGTGTTATCAGTGCAATAAAGCTCACCACTTTAAGTCTCTATATGTTTAATTGTTTACATTCCAATTTGGAAGTATTTGCTGAGCTAGTGGACATATATCTTGGAAGTAATAAAAGCCATTATATTTCAGGGCCTGGTCGAGGGAGAAGTGCTCTCCGTTACCATCTGACCACAAACACAAGGAGAGATAACCCTGTACGTACATGTTTCCAGGAGTTACACCTTGGATAAGATGATGAAAGAAGTTCCAGAATTTGTGAATAATGAAAATATCTAACAGATGTATTTCTTATCTCATCCTTTGTTACAATGTAGTTTGTTCATAACCTTGATTCTGAGATAAAGTTTCTCAATGCCTCTTTTACAACTGTCATTGTTTACACTGTGTCTGCTACAGGTGTTTGTACCTGAGAGGACCTCCGCCAGCATGGTGCCCCAGATGAATGGGGGGAGTGATGACCATGATAGAGATGATGACATTTTGCACAACCTCCTGGGAGTGGACGAGTCAACCATCAACACTATGCTGGACTCGGCTGATTCTGCAGCCAAGATGCTGGGCTTCAAATAAAATAACATGGACGTGAAGATGCTCCATGTCCAAATATGGAGGAAGGTGTGTCCCTGTGTCATTGTGTGATGTCCTTGAACCTTGTCTGAAGTCTGGTTGGGAGGCAGATAACACAAGTTATCATATAACGGATGGCGTCAGGATCCAGTAAATATGCAAATGAGGTCTTCCAGCAGGAACTACGTCCATCCAACGATTTAATGTCTGCTTTATACGATGTGTCTGCATTGGGGTTTTCTGAGTTGTGGGTGATTTTGTAGACAAACCTGGCTGCAACTCCTCTGGGACTTTTGACAGTTGTGCCGCTTTACTCAAGAACTGTATACAAATGTAGTTCTTTGGATGAAAATATGACTTAAACATTAATCATTGCCTTCATCTGTTTCTATAAAGTCACCATAAAAATTCCAATGCCTGATCTTGGACACATATTTTACGGAGAAGGTTGATCTCTGTTTGTCTGGTTGTGAGCCCATGATCTTAATGATTTGTCGAAGCCTGTTTTGTGACTTATGGTAGCTGTGCTGAGCTGGTGCTACACTATAGGTTACAACACCTTGACGTCAGCTGACTGACTCGAATGATAATGCCATAATCTACCCTGTTGAATATAGAAGTATTGTTGGCATAATTAAACTGTGGTGAAGATTGAGTGATCAAGGGTTGCCCTTGATATTGCCACCAATGTACATAGTGAGAGCTGGACGGGTGGTGCCATCTTGGAACATCACAAACTTCCATATCCCAGAGGGAATTGTTTAGCGTTAGACCAACTGTGTCCAGATCCCCTACTGATCCCCTACTGACATTCTATATTTAAACCAAAGCCAGGATATGTATATCTTGCAATATGCAAATATTATCAGCAGTATGCTTTTTACATACATAGTATTTTTGCTTGTACAAGTTGACTTTAGCTGTTTGTGTTTGGGAGGAATGTGTCTTGGAGTAAAAGCTAAATTATTAAAACCAGCATTATGATGTGGTTACAACGGTTATATCGTGGTTGTGTGTGCAGCATTACAAAGTTGTTACAATGTAGTACTGCTGTTGATACAGTTTGTTACTTTATATCTGTTTTCTTTTCGGGACAGTATCCTACTTAAGTGGACTTGTCACGTGTGTATATATTTGTATAAACTTGTGAAACATTCCTTGTTTACCACTGGTATAGTGTATATTGTGTTATTATGGTCCTTGTCTCATGTGAATATGCCTTAAATTCGTCCAATTAGAGATAATCATTGAAGAAGTTGTTAATTTATAGACTTGATAATTTCCCAAGGAATATATATTTATTTGGTTATTATCATCATACAGACATCATTCCACAGATTGTGATTTTATTACTGTAAATATTTATTTTATATTTTCATATTTAATGAAATTTGTCATTTTTACAAATATTTTTGTATTCATTACACATATGTTGATGATGCTGAGAGCATCTGGATGTGTCCATGTTAGAGAAATGATCTGAAGAGTAGACTAGGTTGTCAAAGTGCCTTGAGACGTACAGCTGTTTCCCTATACTGTTGCTGTGTTGCTTACACAGAGCAAGACCCTCAGCTGCTTGTCATTTATTCTGTTTAAGATTGTCTTGAAACATATACATATCTAGTAGGGATTTAGTGCTATAAAGTTATCCCGTCAAATTTCAAATTGATTGACTGTTCCAAGTTTTGCTCTTGTATACAATACATGTGTAGTATGAGAAATGCTTTACATATTTCATATGTAAACTTACCTAGATGTTTTGATTAGCTTCAAAATAGCCCAAAATGGATAGAATGAATTTTCTTGATTTATTTGTTTGAACTACAAGTTTAGGAATTGCTCTAATCATATTTGATGAGTTCAAGCATTATTTGTTCTGCTTCCAGAATTAGTAGTATTGCCACAGAGTATGATTTGCGAATCAGCGTAGTGTAGGATCAGGCCCAAGTATTTCATCAGCATTACAGGAGTATTCACACATGGTTTATAGTTTTAATATTGCTCATATTTTGGGGATGTCAAACTCAGTTTTGCAATAATTTCCTCTTTTTTTCATCCCACTTTCCTAACATTTTCAACTAGTATTACAGTTTTTTACTCCTCCGACGGTCGTTACAGACAAAACTAGATTTAGATGTTTTGCGTTCTATAAATGGCTTGAAGATAGTATTGGAATATGCATAATGTATGGGAGTGTGTTTAACTTATTACACAAGTGTTCAGTGCCTATTGTGTGGCAGCAGATAAGCTTTGTATTGTCAGCATTTACAGCATAAATGAAATTGTTCAATCATAATGAAATATATTTTTTGTTTTATAGAATACTTTTTGATTGAGAAATTCATGTCAATATTTTGCAATATGTGTTTGATCTGTTGTGTATTTGTTGTGTTTTTTTTAATGAATTTAGAGATCTGAGACTTAGTATTTGGCAAATGTTCAGTGTCACCATTAGACTGTTACTAACGTGTTATACCACCCTGTTATAGCTCAGTCTGTTCTTATATAGCCTGAATTTTAAAAATTGACAGAATGGCTGAGCTGTTTTCTTTCATTTTATATCAAGTAATTTTGTCATTAAATATTTAATTTCCTTTTTAATAACAATTTCCTTAAGAAGTCGAAATTAACAAAAAGTTCTGATTGTGTTAGTGCTTCAATTACAGAATGAACATACACTATTTTTCTGGCTGGAGTGATAGGTTTAAATGATGCATACAGTTGTACAGTATTTGTTATAAGGGTTTATGTACAGTAAATAACTCCAATTCTGTGTCCACTCTTGCCAGGAGCGCAGTTGCCTCAGTCGTCTAAGGTGCCGTGATTTGCTGTGCCAAGATAAACCAGAAACGTACAGTCTTGAGTTCAAATCCCGGTCTGATGCCTAGGTAACCATGCTCAAGGGTTTCACCCCGTGGTATTCAACTCGGCGTCAGTTCTGGCTTTCCTCTCACATCAAGGCGACATGCTTTAATTTGACAAGAATAATGTTCAAAGCGACATTACACCCAACTCACACAGCACCTGCGATCTGTAAACTGTATGGTGTGAACAGACTACATGTGACATGTGAGTGGAGGTTGACTGGTGTGTGGGGTGGTATAACAGTAATAGTGTCCTGCTGAGGTTACTCTTCATTGGCTGAGTGTTGGTAGTGTTCTGTTACTACAGTTACCACATACAGCCAACTGAACTATGATTATATAGCACTTTACACACCTATAGATGCTTTATATTCAGGTTTAATTTAACACATACTAAGAAAGTTGGAAGGTATGTTTCTCAACTATTGGTATATGATAGTGGAATTTTAATGGATAAGGGTAGTATCGCCATGCAACTTAAAATGAAATAAATGACAATTTGACAATGATAGGAACAGTGAAAGCTAAACTATGAAAATAGATATCAGTCACATAATTCATTAAATTGACTTTTTTAAGCTTATTGTGTATAAGGATTGTCTAGTATGCAAATTGAAGTTCATACAGAAGTGGAGGATATGATATTCAGTCACAAAAATTGAAGCCAAGATCTGTTTTATTAAGTGAGGATCAATCTTGACAGTTGTAGTAAAGTGTTCAGTATATCAAGGATATTATCAGCTGGACTGTCCAGTGTCAATCACATATCTGTGTGTTGTCTGAAGGATATGTGGGATATAAATCAGTTATCTACCTTCCAGTGAATCAGTGCCAAGCCGTCAACCAAATATGCAACATCTTTATGCCATCATGTGATCTGATCATGTGAGATATTGCCACTATGTATTGTCATAATTCTTTCATTTTTGTCAAATATTTGTGACCAAATCTCCATTAATTCATTTTCATAATCAGGGTTTGAAAAATAACCACAAGATAAGCTAATACCTGAACCTTCTGCATTCAGACCTGTGAACAGTCTCACAAACCAAAGGCCATAAGTATTTTTCTCATTAATTTATGCATAAAACAGAACATTCCCCAGTGATGTATCACTTCAGAGATCTAAATCAGTTTTTAAGATGATTATACAAATTATCTATAATACATTTACTTTTGATTTTCTTTCAACCTACTGACCAAACTTTTCATTGTCCAGGTCTGTAAACCAAATATTCCCATATCACTGGCCTTAGTCATGTGGGCCCGAAAACTGCAGGGGAGTTAACTCCTAACATTATATGAGAGAGACTGTTAGGGAGTTTCACGGTGACATATATGACCCTCACAATCAGCACTATGTGGCTGACACGTAACTGATACTGCGCAGGTACCGATTGAGGTATGTTGAAAGCCCAAATATATGCAATCAGTAAGATTTGACATGCCATTTTGAAAGTATTATGCAAACTATACTGCTCAACTTTTGATAAGAATACACAATGTACTGAGATACTTCATGCTACATCATCTATATTTGTACCTTGATAGTGTTGAGTGCTGCTGACGATATTTAACACTGGATTGCCAAGACCTGATTGGTCAAAACCTGATTGGCCAAAAGTTGATTATTTATGGACCTGTCATATAGCTGGAATTCTGTGGTATCTTGTGTTAACAACAACAAAACATGAACAGATGTAAGTGGGTTGCTAACAGAAAATAGTTAGCGTATCTCAGTAAGTTGAATAGTGTATTTAGGCATTTTGTTGTTTATACGGTGATTTTAATAAATGTACATTGTGATATTAAATCTGTGATTTAGGGCAAAGTGAAACCATAATTAATCTCAAGCATGTTTTGTCAACATTATTACCACATACTAAAACCACTTGTTTTCGGCCTTTGAAGGTCGTACAGTATTGTAGCTGTTTCACGTACAGTAAACTTCTAAACTGAGTGTTCATCTGTTATCATACTAAGTATTGATAACCTTAAGTATTCACACCAAAGATATTACTAGAAAACAGTATTAACATTGACCGATGTCAAGTCGTGAAATCAAACAGGGTGCTGTTGTACAAAGCGATCTTAGGGCTAAGGTGATCGTAACTCCCATCGTAACTCCCATACCTCCCATCGTAACTCCCATCGTAACTCCCATACCTCCCATCGTAACTCCCGTAACTTACGACAGTCAAAGTGCTATTGTTGCTTTGTACAACACCACCCTGATACTTAATGCTTACTACATATACGTCAAAGTATTTCCTATCTCGGTGGAGCGGTGGGGTAGCCTAATGATTAAAGCGTTGGCTCGTCACGCCGAAGACCCGGGTTCGAATCCCCACATGGGTACAATGTGTGAAGCCCATTTCTGGTGTCCCCCTCCGTGATGTTGCTGGAATATTGCTAAAAGCGGCGTAAAACCAAACTCAGTCAGTCCTATCTCGGTCTACAATGTTCATGAAGTGTATTTTATAAAGGTCGGCACTGTACAGAGTGTCGACAGCAGGTACTTTGTACAGGTTCATGTATCCTCAACACAAAATGTTGGTTAGAAAAAATATTTTGGGGATATTTTTTTAATGGAGACTTAGCACACAATTTCATAGAAATGTCCCCTAAGATGTTGATGATCCCTTTCTTCAGTATATATAAACCTATACTTTACTGTTCAGTATATGTACTATTCCATGTTAAAGCACAGGTAAGAATTTCTTTTATTGTTAACATCTCAATGTAAGAATCAAGTGTCTAGTTCTGTACAGATTGGTTTCTTTGTGTCAGTGTGCAGTAACAGTTTGCTTTCATTCTGAAGCTTTATGATTCTATTGAATGTGAAGAAACGGACAAGATTGACATGTACAGAATTTTGTTCGTTCATCAGCAGTGTGAGGCAGCAATTTAGTGGTGTTGGTTGTAGAACTGAAAGATGCTTGTACCAGCTGTAGGCAGGCGTGGAGATGCACAGTTATCTCCCTTCCTCTGTCTGGCAAGCTGCAACTAAGGGCGTCCATCCACCTGCACTCGTCAGGTAGTGATAAATACAATAATCTATCTACAACATAATACCATGATGATGTCTGACCTATTTACATAGTCTTTGCCAAAAGAAACAGAATTTAATGTTTGAATTTAAAATTTCTTTAAAAATTGAAGATTGAGTAGATTTAAGGATTTCAACTTTTTTATTCTTTCAGTTGCTATGGCTTGGTAAAGCGCTAGTACCTTGTTGAGCATGTCTATGCACAGGTTGCATTTTGAAACAATACAGAAGTTGAAAACGTAAGCAAACAATGGGATTAATCTTTTGTTGTAAGAGTAATACATTGAGAAATTCCTGCTATCATCTGTTTTAATAATGTGTTTGTAGTTGTTCATTGACTAGGTTGTTTTTTTCACTTCAATGGAAAGTTTGGTTTGATTAGTTTATTGTTTGTAGCAGGTTTAAATTGTGCAGTCTCCATGATGTGTGTGTTCCTGCCTACCTGCTGTCTGACCATATCGGTGTGATACAATTCTATGCTGTAACACTGTCATATCTCATAGTCCAGTATAGTATAAATGATCACCATCATTATGGAACCAAACCATAACACCACCAGTGTTGAAATGATGGTCAAAAAACCTTACGTAGTACCAACATAGAATTATTTAACCACGTTTTCTGCTTTTGAATACTGTTCTTCATCTTACGTAGAGGTGTAGTTGTGTGTGTGTTAGATTAACTTAATTTATGTGTATCATTCTGCTGAGTGACCTGTTATTTATTTGTTGGTTGACTAGTCTAGACACAGTATTGTTCCCACGTTGGCTGTAGAGTTAACCAGTGACTGTCATGTTACAGGGAGAGACATTCATAGACACCTGCAGCCTCTGTCTATGCAGGTAGAGCAATGGCTTTTCCAGAACCAGACTTCAGGTGTTACCATGGATACAGGCACTTGATGCTTAAATACTGACCAGATAATACTGTAATGAAGACATAGATAGTGTGATCTCAGGCTGACTTTTTCATGCGTACAGATTGTGAAATCAATCCTAATGACCAAATTTTGATGATGTTTTACACCTTAAAGACAAATTTCAGATACATGGGGACCTTGTAAATATATATATATATAAAATATCTCTCATTATATAATTTAGGTCATATAAATACTTTTATATTATATTTGCCAGCCTTTTGGTTCTTTTTCCATTCTGTTTCTCTTTATTATTTGCATCAAGTGCCTCAAGCCAGGTATTGGTCCTGATGGACAATTATATTTGTTCCAAAGCAACATATTTTGTAGATCTTTTGCCACCGCTGTTTTATACTATGAGCTTGACAACATTCCAAGGACAGCAGGATCAGACCATGATGTGTCATATTGTACTGATCACCTACTATTGATGACATGTCTGGAGATGTTGAGTAGGAACATGGATTAAAGCGACAGTTGTTGACTAATGGTCATGCAGGTAGATTATATTGTATTTGAATCACATTCCAAACTATTGTTAGGGTTTATTCTGATTTTTTACTTTTAAAAATTATATCAGTTTTTACACTGATGAGATTCTGTTCCTTCCTGTGTGTATGTTGATGACGTGTGTTACTCCATGGATTGGATCTTCTCTCACAGCAGTATTTTGTACTGTGTTATGCCTGAAATAGACCAATGTTACATTGGAAAAGTGTTCAACCTGTCTTTGTCCAAATCCATTGTCTCTAAAATATCCCAAATCATGAAGTAAATTCTTAATACAACACATTTGCATTTGTTATTTCTTCCTATCAATAGGCTTGTGAAGATCCGGGCTAGAATTGGTCTTCAGCAACCCATGCTTGTGGTAAGAGGTTGGTCGACCAACTGGATCAGGTGGTCAGGCTCTCTGACTTGATTGACACATGTCATCATGTCATCGTATATATATCTACCATTTGCATTGATCGTTGCTCATGCTGTTGATCACTGGATTGTCTGGTCCAGACTCGATTATTTACAGATCGGTGCCATAATGCGGTGTTAAAGAACAAACAAACAAACAAACATCCCGTCAATATGCTGACAAGGAGGGGGCGTCACATGCCAAATGGTCTGATATGACCTTATTTGCTGTATAGAGTTGAATTCTTTGGTGATGACACAACCTTATGATCGCTACCATATAGCTTTAATATTGCTGAGTGCTGTGTTAAACAAAAAACAACAAAGGCCTGTTTATGGTTGTTGGTCTGTGAGCACCATACAAGGCTGGTGTGTTTCACCAAAGTTTTAAACATCTGAGATATCAGTTGGAATATTGTTCAAAGTGAGTTTAGAACCCAACTCACTTTTCACTCACTTTGCCACTCATATTGTTATATTCCAGGCTATATTGTAATCGTTCGGATTATTATTGGTCTGTAAGTCTCCTTGGAGCTTTGCGCACCGAGGTGTAGATCCATATCTAGGCTCTTGGCTTGGAATTCAAAATTGTTCCAAAGCAACGTTTGACATTAAATTTCTCAAGATCTACTCCAACACTCACTTGTACAGATGCACAATCGAATTCCCAACAATTTTGCCTGGACGGGTCAAGTCGCTCAAACGTACCCTCAGTTATTTTGTCCACCACATATACTTTTCTATTAGTTTGATCCCAAAATGTGAAATTCTGCACAATGCCAGTATCACAATGATGTCCTGGTGATTCCAGAACACTAATTGTTTTGAACGTAGACAAAACCGAAAAAAAGGTACATGACACTGCCGTGACCTCGGCTGTATTTGGATGATCCGCTCGCCTGTCAAAACACGTGTTCTGTCCTGTTTTGGGCGATGATATCTAGCTGAATACAATAGATGAAAAAGTAAAGCCAAGGAGACCTCATCACCTGCAACTATATTTTGATTTATTAGTCCTGCAAACTCAAATTAAAAAAATAATTTTTTCTTTGATTCTGAACCTTTGGGGGAGGAATTTCTCACTGCATAGGCAGATCCAGAGTGGGAGTGCAGGGGTGCGCAAAAGCTGTCCTGAATTTGTTCCCATTGCACCAGTGATAGATACAGGCACTGTTCTTTTTAATGACTCCTTCAAAATGTATGACTACACCACGTATAGTATGACCAGAAATTATTGAGAATTTTAGGAATATGTTTAATTGGATGTCTAGTATAAACAACCTTGACCAGCTATCAAGTGCTTGGTTTCATTCAAGAGAGACAACTCCATTAATCCTTTTTCATAAGTTTGTGAAAAGTTATCCCCCTTTGTTTACTTGCTAGCAGACGCCAGTTTCAGTGATCCTCAGTATGGATGATTTAGAGAAGAGGAAGTTTGATTTTAGAGTATTATAACAAGGACATCAGATCAGCTAAAGTGATTTCAAGTAGAACAGGCATCCCTTTGACCACTGTTTATCGTGTTTTGAAAAATATTGCAAATGGATATGGCATTGAGCACCAGGGGAGGCGCAGGTAGGCCCAGAAATTGACTGTTGGTGACAGGAGGCGGCTTTGTATTCTTGTTTCTAAAAACAAACGAAGGAGTTTAGAAAACTTAAGGCTGGATATGATTGATAGAGGAACTGTGGCTGTCTGTAAGGAGACAATTAGAACTGAGCTGCATGCAATGGGTTGGCAGAAAAGTCGAGGAATTCCATCACCGATCATGAAACCTGAACAAAAGGAGCGAAGGTGGAACTGGTGCTTACAGCATAGAAATTTTATTTTTAACTGGGACAATGTGATGTTCTCAGATGAAAGTTTTGTGTGACTGTTTCCTAAAACACTGAAATTCTGGACCAAACAAACTGAAAAACCTTTGTATCAGCGCCCAAAGTACAGTCCGAAATTTAACGTGTGGGGTGGCATATCTGTGTTAGGGGCAACGCCCCTCTGTATTTGAAGGGAATATGAACAGTGAACGGTACAGAGATATTCTCGAGGGACATTTACTTCCATCTTCTGCTCACGTGTTCTATGGAACTTTTTGGATTTTCCACAGGACAACGACCCAAAACATCGTTCAAAGCATTCACAGGCCTGGTTTCGGACCCACAATAGGACATTTTTAGATTGGCCAAGCTATAGCCTTGACCTAAATCCAATAGAAAATGTTTGGGGACTTATGAAGGAAAGTGTCAATAAGAAATATCTGACAAATATTGCTGAAATGAAAGAAGAAGTGGTCCGATATTGGGACAGCATGGACCACGACTTTCTAATTTCTTTGATCAGTAGTATGCCCCGCAGCATTGAAGCCTGCATTGCTGCCCATGGTGACTTGACAAAATACTAACTGTTCACCTGTCTTTGAATCTGGAGTTATGTTCTGCTAATATTCACATTTAATAGGTGAGTAATGAGTGAAATATTTAAGAAAAATTACAATAATTAAATTCTCAATAATTTCTGGTTGTACTGTATCGTCCCCACTGCAGGGTCGCATGGTTTCAGTAGCTACAGAGGTGGTTGTGTAACCTTGTGGTTAAACTGTTCGCTCGTCACGCCAAAGGCCCGGGTTCGATTTCCCCACATAATTACCACGTGTCAGCCCATTTCTGTTGCCCCTCCGCCGTGAAACTGATGGAATTGTGCTAAAAGCATCGTTAAACCCAACTAATTCACCCATTCAGTATCTACACCGGCTTCTGTTCAGAAAGCACCCCATGGTTGACCATGGTAAGGAGGCGCACTGAGTACAGTGATGTTTGTTCAGTGAGAACATCGTCCAGAGCTGACAGTCATAGTGACACGTCT